TGGATGAGTGTTAAAGTTCCTTCCAGCCCAAACCATTCTGTGTTTCCATGACTCTGATAGGCTGGAACATGGCAAATATTTTATGACCCAAAATGCAGAGAGACCCCCACAAACAGAGCATGTCAACACACTGCAGGTGATAAACTCAAAAAAAATGCATTTAAAGAGCATCAGTGGGATCAGCTGTTGAGCTGGAAGCTTTGGGGTTAAATATTACTGATGTGATGGGTTTATTTTGTATTTGTCTTATGCAAAGCAGAAATTCAGTTCTTAGCTGCTGGTGGGTCAGAGGGTGGGAGACCCCTCAGCTTCATAAAACAAACCAAACCAAGATTGGAGCATCTATTTTAAAAGCTGCAGAAGCAGGGAAGGCGGGGCAGGGAGCCACCTCGGCATTGTCTCAGAAGGTGAGTGTAGCAGAGCCATTAGCACGCTGTTCATCTGCAGTCCCACGGGGGAAAGGAACCCAATCTCAGTCTGCTGGTCTCCAGTTTCATCCCTGCCAGTGATCTCTGCCATCTGGCTGAGTGACCTTGGGCAGCACATTTCATCTCAGTTTTGCACCAAAAAACAAACGGGACTGAGAGTGGCACGGGGAAGGCAAAGCCCAAAGGGATCCGTGGTATGTGGGGACAACCTCTTGGAACAAGGGGGCCTGTGGGTGCTGTGGGGCTGGGTACTGCTGGTCTGGTTTCAGTGAAGAAAGCCTCAATATTTCAACTTTTCCTGGCTCTCGAACAGCAGATCCAGCTTCTTCTCAGCTCTGGTGAAACAGAGTGGGATTAAGTGCTTAAAAGGTGTCTTTACAGAGGCGTGGAGGTGGCAGAGGTGAGCTCCAGCCCAGAACGGTGCGGTGGTGTGGGCTGCTGTGTCTATCCCAGCGCTGAAGGCTGCGTGGGGAGCCTCTTCTTCCTCTCAGCTCCACTGTGACACCTGCACTGAAGCCCACGTTTAGAGAGTGGAATACACCTCCACGCTGTTTAAATGGAGCTCTAAAAGGCAGGTGAACTTTACTACTGAATTTTTAAAGCAAGCCTTTAATGTTTAACCAGTGCTGATTTTCTAAGGGCTGTTGAACACGTGTGGCAGAGGGCTGGAGGCAGCTCCTCAGAGTGACACTGCAGAAAGGGCTGGGCTGGAGGTGTGAAACTGCCTTTTCCTTTCCCTTCTGCTTCTCCTTTCCCTCAGGGACCCAGGGGGATCGTTCCCTTGCTTAGGGCCGAGTTACACCAGCACCTCCATGACAAACCACTGCATTTTCTGGCCTCACTGACTGCAGCTTTGCCACTAGCCTCCTTTGCAACTTCTTTCAGCTGCTTTCCTAATAAGATAAATAGGAATAACAATACCATGAATAATCCCTACAGGCTTTTTCCTGCACATGATGTGCCAATGCATTTGAATTGCTGTTGAGTTTTTAAAATTTATGCCACCAGATGAGGCATAGAAGTTGAGACAAAAGTAGAATTTGAAGTGAAATGCCCTTGTAATAGGGGAAGTGGAGGCTGAACGATATCTGCAGACCAGATGTCCTTCCTGGAAGACATTCTCCTTTCTAGCTGCAGGAGTTCCTGGGCTGGGCTGCTGAGGGGTGAGAACTTCTTTCTGAGGAGCTCCCATGAGAAAAAACTGAGGGTCAGTGCCAGCCCTTGAGGCAAACACCAGTCCTGGTAGGTGGAAGGACAGTCAGGGCCTTTGGGAATGCCCTGAAGAGTTGGCCCTGTGTCAGGGGAAAAGGCAGCCCACTGACACTGGAAAATGCCAAGGTGACCTTCTGGCAGCAGGAAAAAACAAGTGTTGGAAAATAGGAATTATAGTCAGGGCTGCACAGCAGAGAGAAAGATGGATTGGGACTCACCAAAATCTCATCCAGCTTTTATAACCTGAACAAAAGGGAAACAACCACAACTGTGGCACAAAGCAGTTACACTGTAGCAGGAAGATGGAAATATTGTTTTATTTTTTCTTCTGTTTTCTCTGAGGAAATTTAGCAGTAAATGAGGAACAGGAGAGACATACTTCTTTAAAAAAGAAAGTTGCATTGTGATGGGAAATTCAGAACATTTATTTATAAATAAATACATTTTGTTTTTATTCTGAATATATATTTATAAAGTAGATGTTGCAGGCCTTGAGTAACTTTGTGGCTTTTGATGCCAAGTTGTGCTGCAAAGGTCTTTAGGAAAAGTGCTCTGGCTCCACAGGCTGCAGCCTTGGGAGCTCTGACATTTGATGGTCAATGGTTGTTTTTGAGCAGTGTCAGGCTGGTCTCCTCAGTCTGAGATAGCAGAACATTTCAGGAGATATTGCTGATCAGAAATAGCACTGCAGCTTCCTGAAATGTCTGCCCAGATAAGGGGACACTCCACAGCTGGAAGTGATAAGGAGGCAGGAAAAGACAAAGCAGTAAATGTGATGTTACTTCAACACCACCAGGCAAAGGGGCAGCTGGTCCTTAGGGAGAACCTGAAATAAGGTTCTGAAGGTGCAAAACATCCCCCAGCTGGTCTCTCACATCCCTCTCTTCCACCACTCCTGGTGCCACACGCCTCTCCTGCCCCAGGAACAGCTGCTCAGCCACTCTGACACCCCAAAGTTGGGCAGTGCTGGCATCATTTCCTCCACAGAGCCACAGCCCCAGGGACTGTCCCTGAATGGTGACCACTGCCCAGCACATGGCCTGACAAACAGGGACCACTCATCCTGATCTGCAAAGCTCCCCAAGATTCACCAAACACTGCACAGGTTTTCAGAGCTGGTGGGAGAGGGGGAAGTTGAGAGGTGAGGATGCCTCCCAGTGTCCTTCTCAGTGTCACGTATCTAAGTGATCCCCTTGTTCCTCAACAGAGTACAGTTTGGGGAATATTTGCTTGAGGAGTGGGTTCACAGGTATGTAGTAAGTCACGTAATACATCAAACAATATAGTGCAGTGATAAAGGGCCGAGATGAGCGGGTCCCTTTGCTCTGATCTACCCTGGGATGAGCAGAATTAAATTGTGTTCGGGAGCTGTGGCTCTGCCTCCTCCTGCCCTGACATAAGAAGGCTCCTCCTGCTCAAGGGCAGGAATCAAAGAAACACGGAACATCCTGAACTGAAAGGGTCCCTTCAAAGTCATCAGGTCCGACTCCTGGCTCTGCACAGGACACTCCAAGACTCCGACCCTGTGCCCAAGAGCATTGTCCAAGCACTCCTTGAGCTCTGGCAGGGCTGTTGCTGTGACCCCTCTGTGGGATGGGGTGAGCCCATCTCCACGCACACCCCTTGTTATTCTCCTTTTCTGCCCACATGAGCCCCCACCTGGAGACGTGCCCGGGTCTGGAGTTCTCAGCACAGGAAGGACACGGATCTGCCAGGGCGAGTCCAGAGGAGGCAGCAAGAATGGAGCAGCTCTGCTGTGGGGACAGCCCGAGAGAGCTGGGGGTGCTCATCTGGAGAAGGCTCCGCGGAGACTTTAAAGCCCTGAAGAGACTCCAGGAGAGCTGGAGAGGGACTTGGGACAGGGGATGGACTGACAGGCGCAGGGGGAGCGGCTCCGCACAGCCCGAGGGCAGGGCTGGCAGGGATGTGGGGCTCCCCTCACGGCCGGACCGGCCGGCCCTCACGAGATGGCGGCGGGGGGGCCGCACGTGCGGGGGGCGGGGCCTGCGGCGGCCCCGCAGCACAATGGACAGCGCCCGGCGGGGCGGGGCCGGCGGAGGGGCGGGGCCGCCGAGGGGCGGGGCCGCCGCCGCCGCGGGAGCCGCCGAGAGCGGGATGGGACCGGCCGGGCTGCGCCGCGCCCGCGGTGAGGGGGAGCGGGACGGGCGGGAGGGGAGCGGGATGCGGCTGCGGGAATGTGGGTGTGGGCAGCGCACTCCGGGGGTCCCTCGGGGCCGCCGTGCGAGGGGAGGGCGGGTGGGTGTGAGGCTTTTCCTGCCTCGTGTGCCCGGGCGCGTCGTGAGGCGGCGGAGCGGGGGCGGCGGTGGGTGTGGGGCGCCGGGAGCCGCTATCCTTCAGACACGGGAGGGAATTTTAGTCATAATCCAGCGGGATCACGGAAGGAGCCGGTGAGACCCGCACGGGGAGCTCGGGGTGGCGGGGGATCCCTTCGAGTTAAGGACAAAATGCAGCGTTCTGAAGTTGGGTTTGTGCTGTGCGGCGTGAGGGCGGCGGACCCGGCTGGGCTGAGCCCCGGAGGCGGCTGCGAGTGGGACCCGGCCCCCGCCCGAGCTCCCCGGGCTCGGGGTTCGACAGATCCACCCTGAAACTCACCCCGAACTATTTATCAGCTCAAAGGGTGACCCTGATCAGCGCTGTTAAATGCATTGATGGATTTAACAGGTTGCCCAGAGAAGCTATTGCTGCTCCATCTCTGGAAGTGTCCAAGGCCAGGCTGGATGGGGTTTGCAGCAACCTGGGGTGGTGGGGCTAGAACTAGCCCTTGGCAGGGGCTAGAACAAGATGGGTTTTAAAGTCCCTTCCAAACCATTCTGTAAATTCATGTTTTCAAGTCAGCTTCTAGGTGAACCAAGTATATTCTCTGGGTCACTTGGCTAAACTCCTCCAAGCAGTAGAATTGGTCTGTAGATGGTGAGAAGGTGCTTGTGTTGATGGCACCACTTATCTGGTGAGGCTGATGACATCCAGCCTCTGCTCAAGGAAAATACAGCTGCAGGTTTCAGTCAAGACAGACTGAAACAGTTTGCTGGTGCTTTGTTGTACTGTTGAGTGAGCTGCTGCCTGGCTCTACTCTTGATTTACATGTTAAACTGAACGATGGGGTCCTTGGCAGAAGAAGGATGTGAACTTGTTGAAGTGGGTCCAGAGGAGCCCATGGAGATGCTCCAAGAGCTGGAGCTCCTCTGCTCTGGGGCCAGGCTGGAAGGCTGCTCACCTGGAGAAGAGAAGGCTCCAGGGAGACCTCAGAGCTCCTTCCAGGTCCTAAAGGGGCTCCAGGAGAGCTGGAGAGGGATTGGGGACAAGGGATGGAGAGTGATGAGGCCCTTGCACAGGTTGCCCAGAGGAGCTGTGGCTGCTCCATCCCTGGAAATGTTCAGTCTGGGATAGTGGAACCTGTCCCTATCCAGAGCAGGGGGGGAACCAGGATAGGCTTTAAGGTCCCTTCCAACCCAGACCATTCCAGGATTCTGTGTTTAAATTGTGTTTGAGAATTGAACTATTTCATACGCTGGATGGATAAATGGATGTGGTATGACTTCCTGTGGAGTAGTAAGGTGAGGAATGAGGGGGTTTACTTCAGGAATGCTTATCTGCTGCTACAGGCTGGCAAATATCAGGGAATTAATGTATTGCTGTGCATAAAAGTTCCATGGTGATTCTTTGGTGAGAAAATTACCTTATGAGATGGATGCGTGGAAATATTGGACATGGAGCTTGTTGTGAAACACAAATGGAAGAGAAACAGCTCCAAGAGCAGAGTGAGTGCTGGACACTGTTCCGCTTCCTTCCTCCCCTCAGCCAGAAAGACTGTGTGGTCAGGAATGTATAAATGTTGTTATTTGGGTGTTTGTGTTGCTTGTCTTTGGTTTTGATCCTCGCCAGGATTCCAGGTACCTCTGCCAGGTGTAGGAGCAGTGCCCAGGCTCCACCTCAGCACAGTGACCCGCACTTTCCATGCTGCTTCACTTGCTGCAGAGGTGTTTCTCAGGGGCAAGATTAAGCTCTGTCTGAGCAGATATCTGCTTCTAAAAAATGGCAAAGGTTTATTCGGGCACCATTCTGCCTTGAGCCTTCCTTATGTCAAGCTTCAAGAGACTTGTTCTTTAGTTCTTAGGTGAAAAAGCTCAAATAAATATCCTACAGCTTGGTACTGTGTTGTTCTTCTGTGTGCAAAGCATGAATTACAGTATCTCCCTAAGTGAAAGGGGCACCAGGCAGAGGAAATGTCACACACCTTTCTCTCCACCTTTCTCTAGAAGGCAGGAGGAAAGAATGCAGCCCTGTGGAGTCCCCCTTTTCTAACTGGAAATATCAGCGTAGCTGGGTGCCACAGCTGGATTTCACGTGGTATAGTGGTATTTGAGGAAGTCAAGAATCCTGCTATTTTCAGCAGTTCTTTGTCAAAAACAAAACAAAACAAAAAAAAAAACCACCCTGCTCAGTTCTCTTCAAGATGAAAAGCAGCCACCACAGGTGGGAGAAGTTAATAAAGTCACTTGCTGCCAGTTCCACGTCCAACAGGCAGCTCCAGTGTGGAAGGAGCTGAGTGAGTCCTGTGCCTGGCTGAGAAGCAGGGGCAGGGGGTTTGATTTAGGGATTTCTGGGTATTTAATCTACACACTCAGTTTCTGATTTCCAACCATATGGCTGTATTCTGTCAAGTAAGCTGCTCCTACAAATAGTAGAATGGAAGTCAAGCATATGGAAAATCCCTTAGGTGTGCAGTGAGTGATTCTGGATGAGAAGGAAACACACAGTTAATGTCACTGCCTGTCCCTTTGCTGTGTGTAGTGATGTGTGTTCCTCACGGGAGCCCTCACAGGCCTGGCTCCTGTGCTGGGGGAGCTTTGCACACTGGGGGTGCACCACTGCTTCTTCAGAATCCATTTCTCTGGAGTGCTTCCAGAGTTACAGCAAGTGCTGTCAGGGTCCATATCCCTCCTCTTCCCACCTCCTTCCCTGAGCACCCAGCAGGTGGATCTCGAGTTTGTAATGAGCTCTCTCTGCTTGGTTCACAGAGGAATTGTTGTGTGTGCTGGAGCAAAAGGGATGCCCAGGGAGCTGGGGCTCTCAGGGCTCAGTGCTGTTGGCACAGTGTGTCACAGGATGCTCTGTGAGATGTGGTGGCTGCTGCTGTTTTCTGTGTTCAGCTGTGCAAGAATTGAAATAATTCAATATCTACTTGGGATGGTTGTTAGTAGCCAGATTTGTTGCTTCAGTGCATTGATTATTCCAGCCTCTGAGCTTTTATCAACTGCTCTGGGCTTGGCCAGCTGGTATAGACCCTTTTTCCTGGTGTTTCCCCAGGGATGCTCCAGGTGTGCCTCCACCTGTGGACTGGGTGGTCATGCTGCAGTTCAGTGGGTCACTGCTCTTCACCTGAGTTGTCTTCCCTAATATGTTTTTTTAGCCAGATGCAGATAGGAAGTTGAGCAGGGAGCCTGGGCCACTGTAGAGCTGGAAGGATGTTTGAGGAGCAGACATACTCTCTGATTGGGTGGTTTCTTTCTGGTGGTTGAACATACCTGTTTATAATTTGAGTGGAACACAAGACAAATTTTAAAACAAATCTGTCTTTGGTGCTAAAGCCCTGGGAAGATGCATATCTTGCAATATGGCTCAGATGCCCAATGGTAACACCTGTGACTCTGTCCTTATCAGTGCTAATCATCATCTTCAGCCAGATGTGCCAAGTAGCCACCTTCACTGCCTTTTCTGATGTTTTTTTCTTTTTTTTCCTTTTTTTTCCAGGACTTACAGCAGGAGTCCCTGTTGCTTTGAGAAGCACAATGACCATCTCACAGCTCTGTCTGGAGGAGAGGGCATAGAAGGTCTGCTGCCACTGTACTCTCCTGAGGTATGAAAGATTTCTAGGGCAGGTGTGAGTTATCAGCTGTCATTTTTTTACAGCTTCCTGTGGGTGTAATAGTCACTGGCTCTTTTCTCCAGCCTTCCAGCCTTGTTGGAGGAGCACAGAGGCAATAAACCTGTGACAGTCGAGTCCAGCAGCTGCCAGGAGCAGTGGGTCTATGCAGGCAGCACAATTAAGGCTGCTGAGCTTGTGCCATCCCACTGTTCTGTGGCTGGTGCCTCTGTTTCTGATGCCTCTAGACTGGGTGATTCTAGACTGGTCTGTCTTGAGCCTTCCTGCTGTGGAGGTTTCTGCCCTTCTCCTGCAGAGGTGCAGGAATTCCTGGTGTAGGAGGTGAGGTCAGAATAAGCAAGATCCCAGCTAAATGTGCTCGATGAGGCTTCTCCTGCTCTGTCTGTGCTCACGGGGAGGGTCCCTGCCCAGCCTAATCGTGTTACAGGTCGTGTTCCAAGGTGCCCTGTCCTGTGCCTCTTGGCTCGGGTGTCTGATACCTGATAGCAGCCTGGGCTTCCTGAGATGTGCTTGTGCTGCTCCTCCCGCTGCACTCTGGGCTGGATGCTCTGCTGGGAGGTTCTCTCTCCACTGACTGGCTTTTAGCACCAGTGGGACTGAGAGATCCAGCAAGCCCTGACCTTTGCTGCTTGGGTAATGTGATCCCCTGCAGAGGAATTGTCTGATCACTGGGCCCTATTTCTCCAAAAATCCCTCATTCTCAGGTATTCAAACTTTTCAAGTCCTTTCTCCCTCACCCTTGCATAGATTTTACAGTGTGATGGCATTTTGCAGCAATTTTTGAGGGAGAATCTATTGCCTATTCATGTTTCACCTCCGGTTTTGGGCTGAAAATGTCAGGGCTAAGTTGTCTGAGTGCTCTGACTGTTGAGTTCAGCGCTACACTGCGTCATGTTGCCGAGGGCTGTGTCTGCTCAGCGGTGGAATTTGAGTGGGGTGGAATGAGCACAGTGCCTCCAACCAGCCGTCCAGCCTTTTGTGTCCTGATGTTTGTGGATGGTATTGGCAGGAGCAGTACAAAGGAATTCCTGAAGGAATTGCAGAAAGCAGCCTAATAATGCTTTTTATAATGATTTGTGTACTTCCCTTGAGATGCTGGTTACTGATGCATGTTTGAGAGTTAAAACCTGGGCAGGAGAGTCTGAGGGAGGAGTCCCAATGAGGACAGTGAGAGGTGGCTGGGAGCAGGGAAATGCTGAGGACGGGATTGTTCCTGTTCCCTGCAGTTCTTGCCTCAGTTCAGCTGGAACAGTGGGCATCCAGGCAGTGGGATGTGATTGCCAGCTTAGCATCAAGCATGTTCTTTCAGCATGCTGCTTCCTTTTCCTTCCTTTCAATGAGCTAAAACAACTGAATCCTACTTTGTGCACAAAAGCATTTAAAACACGGAGGCATGGAAAGCTGTGAGAGCTTTCAATGAGAAAGATTTTGCCCTAATTGTTACAGATATAATGTAGGGAACGGGGATAGGGGGAAGAATTGCTATGTAGGCTCTGTAAGGCTCCTAAGACAGGCTCCTTCTCCAGAGAACGATTCATTCTGGTTTTACATCTCTGTGCTGTGCTTTAATTATTGTGAGTTTTGTTGGAGGTCCAAGTTGAATTTATTGCAGCAGTGCTGGCAAGCAGCACAGGATACTGGCACACCTCTGGACTGGGACTGCAGAGATTTGCTTCTGTCTCTGCTATTTACTAGGCAAGATATTCTACTTAATAAATCTCCTCTCTATTTGTAAGAAAGAGCTACAACTTCTAGTAAGGTCTGTAAAAATCACCTAGAATGTCTTTGCTGCTTGGCGTGGGGGATCTAAAATGTTCCAATTTCTCTCTATTACAGGTGTGTGGCAAAAATGGTGCAGAAATACCAGTCCCCAGTTCGAGTCTACAAATACCCTTTTGAGCTCGTCATGGCAGTGAGTAACGCTCAGCACTTTCCCTGCTCCAGCTGCTGAGGGCCAGTGGGAGGTGGGGGCTGTGGGTTTGGGTGGATGTCTGTGACAGTCCTACTGCAGGAACAGAGCCTCAGTTCCCCTTCTCCAATTTCCCAAGAAAAACAAGAATCAGTATCTCAGCATTAAGAATGGCAGCTTAGTTGTTAGAAGGGGAAAAAAATAAACCAAACAATAAAATCCAACCTTACGTAATTATTCTTGGACATGGAAGGAAAAAAACTGACATTGTTAGGCAGGGACAGTTTGCAGCCAGACACATTCTTTGCTATATCACCAAATGCCACTCAGTTCAAAATCTGTCCAGATGTGATCCCAATCAACACTGTAGTATGGATGCATCAACAACTGGATTCTGGAAAATACTGAGCTTTTTTATTTGGTTAAAGGCTGGAAATCTTTGGAAAAAGTCTTCTGTATTGTTCTTCCCCATCCACTCTGTGATTGAACCGTCAGGAGACCTCTCAAAATCTTGTGATTTCCACAAGGGGCTTGAGGCTATCATTGAAGTTCATTCACTGGGCATGCAGAAGGTTGGTGTTGACCGTGGGAGTTGCTTCAGGCAGAGTTTCTTTGCAATATTCTGGACTTTGTCACAATTAGATGTGAGTTAAATACCTTTCTCAAAGGTTTGCAGCTGCATTTCAAGGGCAGCATTGGGTGTTGTTAGAGGAGCTTGCTAACGGAATCTTGCAAGGTTTTGTTTTGTAATCTGCTGGGCATTTCAGTCAGCTGAAGGGATCCCAGGCTTGGTGTTTGCCACTTTTAGCCTGCTGCTTCCTCCATTGCCTGTTCCCAGTTCCTTTAGTTTATGGGAACCCAGAAAGAAGATGGAAAGCTGCAGCTGTGGCAGACAGCTGATGTGATTCCCATGAATGGAAGGGAGAACCTCTGTTGAGTTCCTCTTGACAATGTGGCCTCTTCAAGATTTCTGAAAAATGCCTTAAGATTTTTTTATCCAAAACAGCCTCAACCTTTTATTTTAACAGTTAAAAACTGGGGGCATCAGTTTGTTCCTCATTGTGAATAGGGGACCCCAAAGGTAGCAGCAGCTGAGAATGAGTGGTTGCTGTTCACTTTGCTCTCTGATCATCCACATGAACACTGCTTTTGCTGACAGTTGAGCTCCCTCCCAAATCTACCCCTATTTTCCCCCAGTCTTAGCCAGATTTGCCATGTCTGTTCACAGCTAAACCACAGAACGTGCCACAGAATTGCCCTGACCAGTCTGGGGCTGATGATTGTGGCAGTGATGCTTTCCTGGCTGTGGTCTTTTCTCTCTCAGTGCATCCTGTGTGAGAATAAGACACTGGTACCTGTGATGAAGATCCTGGGAGCCTTTGTTCCTGCACACCTCTCCACATTCCTGTTGTCTCTATTAGCAGGATAAAGCTACCACCAGATGCTCCTCAGTCGATTGGCTGCCAGTTGAGGAGGGCTGCCTTGAGACAAATCCTTTATAAGCTTGTTAGCACATGCCTAAAGGCCAGAGGCTGGTAGGCTTAATTTTGAAGTGGTTTAATTTTATTTGCTTTCAGTTTTTCAGCATAACAGAGTTTAAAATTCCCTGAGAATTGAGGGCTGGGGTTATAAATATCATCCTTTAGTTATTCAGCAAATCTTAGCAAAGTTGTTAGTCCTCTTTCTCATGAGCAAGTTCCTTTTTCCAGGGTCACCCTGCAGACTAGCTGTGGAGTAGAGAGCTGAATATAGACCCCTTAGCCCTCCCTTCCCCGTGAAAATCCTGTGTTCCCAGCAGGATCTGCTGTTGTAAAGCAGCATTTCAGTCTTGTGGTGGTCCGTGCAGGCTGAGCTGGATGCAGAGTTGGCTGCCACTGCTGCCACGTTCAGGCAGAGGCTCCGTTTGTGTGGAGGCAGCGCGGATCTCACGGATCTCGCAGAGCTGTCAGGTACCAGCCGTCAGTTGCTGGAAGTTTTGCAGGGAAGAGTGGGTGTACGGTGAAGCTGTTTTGCTCCTCAGCACGTGGCATTGCTGTTAATCTCCTTCACCATAAATCTGACAGCAGCTTCCTCAGCACTGCGATTCAGCTGCTTTCATCTTTTCCCCTCAAATGCTGTGTGAGAACCTTTGGATGCCGAGGTCTCAGCCTGTGGTAGGAAAGCAGAGGTCAAAGGGGTGATCCAAAGACATCCCCATGTTTTACAGATCTCTGGGCACCCTTCAGCCTGATACACTTGTGCTTAATTCCTCACTGGGGAGGGTCATCCCTCACAACACAGCCTGAACAGAACACAGAAAGTAAGTTGGGAAAAGTATTTTTCCCTCAGAACCTCCAGTGTTTGGACTCTAGAAAGCAGTGGGTGTGCTTTGCTCACACAGGAGAATTTGAGAAATAGGGCAGTCACAGTCAAATTTGGCAAGCAATTCCTTGTTTCTGGGCTGGCTCACACAGATCCACAGGTGGGCCCTTTGTGGAGCCCACCCTCAGGAACAGGAGTTCTCCTTGGACTTGTGCAGAGGCCATGTGTGTGCCTGAGGCTGTGCTCCAGGGATGAGCTGGGGCTTTTCTTGGTGGTACCTTTGTTACCACGTGTCAGGGTAGTTGTCTCTGGATTTACACTCTGCTGTTTCCTAATGCTCCTGCAGCTTGGGTTGGAGCATTTGCAGGCAGGAGTTCTGATGTGTATTCCAAGTCCTTGGAAGAACATTCCCCTTCTTGCTCTCTTTGCCAGTCCTATGCATCTGAGAAAGTAAAAAGGAGTCCGCTTAACAAGTCTTTTCTTGTCATTTGGGAGTTCTGAATTTTTTCTTTTTTCTTGTCCTTCCTTCTAACACAGATTTAAGCAAAGGGTGTTTTTTCCGCACCTGTCCGAGGTCACTGTAGTCATTTCCACCTGCTTTGTTCCTAACTTGGATTCACATTAATGGATCAAAAGTATTATGCTCTTCAAACACATATTCAGTGCCTGACACCTTTATACCTTATACTTGAAAAGAATCTTGACTTCTGTTAGGCTTTGTTATCTTGTTATGTTTTTCCTTTCTATTTTATCTTTTTCATTTGTGTCCTCCTTTAAATGGAGCTGTTCCTCCAATGGATGAGGCCTCTCTGGGCCTCATCTTGTCTTCCCTTCAATGAGATCAGTAGATTTGACATTGCATGGCTTCTAATTTTATCTTACAGCCAAGAAAATTCCCAAGTACAAACTTACTTTGCATTTACTTTCTGTTGTAGTTGGAAAGCTAAAAGGGATTTTTTAAAAAATGTTATAATCAATGAAAAATCCAGAAGGAGAGGTACCTCTGCCAGGTATGAGTGATGCAAATATTTGTGAGCCTTCTGCGACGTATTGGGGAGGAGAATTTGGTTTGGGTGAGCGAGTCCAACACGCAGGAAACGGCCGAGAGAGAGATACTGCATATTTAATGTTATTTGCAATGAATTATTAGGTTAGATGAGATAGCTGTGGCTGGAGGGTTTCAGCTTTGAATGTGGTAGGGAGTTGTGTTACTGTTATTTTTAGTAGTGCCTCAACCCTTCATACTCACAGTTGACACTGACCATTTTCACACATTTTAGGGAATTTATAGGATTAAGTCTCTAAAGCTACAGGTTGGGAATAACCCCCCAGAGACCTTACAGGGTCTTCTGTATATGATGGATAATTTCAGTTGCTGCATTAGTGGTGCAGATGAGAAATCTCTGACAGCATTTGTCAGTGATTTGCTCCTCTTGCCACGGTGAACTTCATGTTTGGCTCTCACTGCTAAGAGCAGTTTATGGTTTTTGCTGCAAGACAGGGATCTTTCTGCACTACTATATAAAAATAAGTCATGATTTTGGTTAAAAAGAACAAAGATCAGGCATTGGGAGGTTTGCAGGAGCATCAGCTCCCATTGCCTGTGCAGTTGTATTTTGTGCTTGAGATAAAACCGCCGTGGAGCCCACATGTGCCTGATGTGAGTCAGTGCTGCTTTCTGCTTGACCTCATTTCTTGGTGCTGCCCACGGCATGTGCTGACACATATCTGTGCAGCTGGGAGCCCGAGCTCTTGGACACACACATATGGGGAGCCTTGGTGTGTGCCTCTGTGCTGGCTGAGTGCTGCTCATCAGGCCAGGGCAATTCTGCTCCTGCAGCGAGAATTTGGGTGGGGGTGGCTCCTCTGGGGTGCCTGTTTGGTGTGGGGGTGTTTCTCATCTCCAGCATCACTCAGAGTCTCCGACAGACCTGTGGCAGCTCAGGAGCCCCCTGCCTGGCTCTGCACGTGAAAGCTGCAATGTCTGAGCTCCTGGCCTGCACTTCCAAGCAGCTCCCTGACTCTTCTGGTTTTAGTGGTGATTCAGTGTTCTTTGAATCACAGAACAGTTTGGGTTGAAGAGACCTTAAAACCCATCCCACCCCCTGCCCTGGGCAGGGACACCTTCCACTATCCCAGGGTGCTCCGAGCCCTGTCCAACCTGGCCTTGGGCACTGCCAGGGATCCAGGGGCAGCCACAGCTGCTCTGGGCACCTGTGCCAGGGCTTTCCCACCCTCACAGGGAACAATTCCTGCCCAACATCCCATCTAACTGACCTGTGGCAGGGTGAAATCATTCCCCTTTGTCCTATTGCTCTGTGCCCTCATCCGAAGTCCATCTCCAGATTTGTAGCTCTCCAATGTTCTTTACATTTAGTTGATCTGCAGTTTTCTATTTCACAGGTAAGACGAAGTAGGAAGTTAGCAGTGGATGTTCTGTTTCAGCTCAGTATAGTTTGAGTGTCAGAGGTTCTAACAAGCTGAGTGACAAGTTTAATTCAGGCTACAAATGCTGCAAGTTTAAATAAAGTCAGAACTTATTTCTCATGTAGTAAGCAGCAGAAATATTCCTTCTCCATCATCTCTACTCTCTCATGCTGCACACAGGGTCATACCCATGAAAAGCAAACATCCATGGTCCCAGTGTGAGATGTCTTTCCCTTGTGCCTCACTCTCAGGAGCAGCTCAGGGATTCTCACTGG